CGATGTTCATTATGTCAAGGAGGGCGATGTGCTTGTCCCTGCCAGCCAGACGCCGTTTGCGCAGGACGCCACCTTTGGGTACCAAAACTCGAATTTGCGGCAGTACATCCTCGAGAAGTGCGGCTCCCGCTTTAATGAGTCGTCTTTTCTCTCCATAACCATCGACGACATTCGCGTTGGCGGACCGCAAGGCGTCAAGGCGAAGCTTTTATCGCGACCGGCCGGTTCGGATGGAGTTGTCATCGTCAATGCTGCTGCCGAATCCGACATGGACGTGTTCGTTTCTGGGTTGCTCGCCGCAGAGAAAGAGGGCAGACGCTACCTGTATCGTACCGCTGCGGCGTTTGTATCGTCGAGGCTCGGCATCAAGGGCATTCCGCCCCTGCGTATGGCTGACGTCCAGCCTCCGACGGCGAGCGGGTCTGCATCCTCCCACGCTGGCGGTCTCATTCTTGCTGGATCCTACGTTCCAAAGACGACAGCCCAGTTGAAAGTCTTGCGGGAGAGGCGCCAGGACAAGCTCGCCGTCGTTGAGCTCGAAGTTGCGGACCTCATCAAGTCTGCCGAGTCGGAGCGCGCCATCGTCGACAAGGCGGCAGCAGAGGCCAACGACCAGATCTCCGCTGGAAAGGATATTCTTGTCATGACATCCCGGACGCTCGTCAAGACATCGGATGCCATCAGCTCGCTAGAGATCGGGTCGAAGGTGGCCTCGGCACTGGTAAGGCTCCTCGAGCAGATTCGAGTACGGCCGCGCTATGTCATCGCCAAGGGCGGCATCACCTCTTCGGACGCGGTGACCAAAGGCTTGAAGATGCTAAGAGCGCGGATCATGGGCCAAGCAGCTCCCGGTGTTGCCACTATGGCGTTGTGACGAGTAACCAGTCGACACCGGGCGTCCCTTTACTTGTATTCCCAGCACTGTGGAGCGAGAGCACTCTGGCTGAGATTGTCGAGTCCTGGGCAGCATGAATCTGATGGTTCATGATGGAAATTCGATGCCTAATGAGGACTACCGAAGCCTTGTCTCGTCGGAAGAGAGGCAGGTGAGGAAGGAAGGGTAGGGATACACATCAGATCATGACTAAGGGGTGGTACGACCTGGGAAACAGGAGGGCGGCACTGAGTCTGGAGATTACTCTCGGAGTATGGAATTGCATTTGTCATAGCGCTTTTCAACTTCCTTGATTGATCTGGTTCGAGTTTTCGTCCGCCAGCGTAGAAACGTTTCTTTTTGGACACTTCTTGATTGCTTACTTGCTGGGTGTGGTAGTGTCACCCTGAACTACTTACTGGATATGCGAGGGCAAGTGGATCAATGGATTCTAAAAGGAAGAATGAACTATGATTATTATTATTGTTTTATTGTCCCAAACGATTGCGGTGGAGTAGTAGCCGGCGACATCCAACTTTTACTCTATCTAGCCGCGGTAGAAGCAATCACACCGTTTTAACTCCAATAAGACTGATGATAGTCGCCGAGTGCACTCATGTGCAGATAGCCGTCTATTAATTGTCAGCTTTGAGGGCAATGACTACGCGATATGATCCAGGAGATCTCATACCAGCTCGACGGTAGAACTGTTCCCGGAAGACCAGGTAGATGACCTTCGGGAAGCATCCGACTCGGAGCCCGTGACCGAGGGCTTGCGCTTGTTGGCATTGGCCATGCCTACGATCCTGGACACAGAAACAGACAGTCTACAAGGTCCTGGGGTCGCGTGGGATGACGTGACCCTGGCCATGGTCGAAAAGCTCAGCCTTGTCCTCGTTGCACATGTCGTACAAGGTAACAGACCCATCAATGTAAGGGTCGTTGCAGCCGACGACGTGGCATGTTGGAATGTCGATAGCATCCTCGGCCTCCGCATCAGACAGCATCGAGATGCTGCCGTCCTTGAGGGAGATGGCAGGACACCCAGCAAAGAAGATGGCGCACTACGTTGTGGGGTGTGAATCAGCCACATGTCGCAGTGGGCATCAGGCAGGGGAGAGAGCGTGGACTGGTGGTGGCTTACGTTGATCCTCCTGGGAATTCCTTCTTCCTCCCACCTGCGTCGTTCTTCTAGAATCGCGGTCGCGGCTATCGTCGCTCCTTCCGAGTAGCCAAGGATACCCTGTGTACCAGAGGTCAGCCAGGTCGCTCACAGCATGCTTCTGTCTCAGATCGTTTGGGGCGCTGGAACTTACGTCGATCTCTGGGTCGTCGTCAATGGCCTTGAGCACCGCGTCGATCGTCTCCTGGAGGCAGGCCTTCTGGTGCAGAAAGTTTTCCTCGCTTCCAAAGAGCAGGCGCATGTTCTCCTCGGTCGATGCCCCGTCGGGGCACTGCCTCCACTTGGTGAAGAGGTCGTCGTACGCGCGGATGCCATTGAACGGCATGAACCTGTACAAAGGTTTCTCACCAAAGTAGTGTTCAAATTCGGCCGGGGGCTCGACCTCGTGAAGTCCCGAAATCCATTCAAACTCGAGGTCGGAGTCCTCCTGAGTCTTCTGAACGAATGGCGCGAGTTGAATCTTGAATTTCTATACCGGAGACTCAGTAATTTGGCACGACGGAGAGGCGGAGTGGGGGAGGCCGTACCTTGGCGCTTCCAAAGGTACCGTGCAGGCAGAGGAACTTCATCTTGAATAACGTGTGACGATGTCGTGACTAGAATGCGGTTTGAAGGGCCAGGCTGTTCTGTGAAGACTTTGTGTGCGCAGCAGCGACCTTAAATGCTATCTCGCGTTGTGCTATTTCCTCCCCCCCCCCATCCCACTTTCCACATATTTTGTGTAGCCTTATTCCTGAACACGGCTGTCTCAGCTGCACAATAACCTGCCGTGCTGTTGTCTCACTGAACTGCCGGTAGTCAGGCGCGCTACCTGGCCCGGGCGCCTTGTCTCACTCATAGAAGGCTTCGAAAGAACGTTTCCATCAACTGTCAGGGGTTGAGGTGATGAGGCTCTGACACAATGTCTCATACGGACTCATCGTTAAAGCTTCTTCATCGAACCGAAAATCACGCCGAGATATGGGATGGGCCCTTCCGTTCAGCTCAGGCGTTGTGCGTCAAGCGAAAGCAGGACGTCGATCGGTGAATCGACTCTGCTTCCGGATTACAGGCCGCGAGGAAGACCGATGTCGTGCAATGTGCCTGGTCTTGGCCGATTGCGTCCACAACATGGACATTCTACATTTGTCATGCTGAGAAGGCCATGCAAACAAGATGGATCGTATGTCGATCAAAAACTATAAGTTAGCAACGCGGGTTTCTCATGGCAACAGTCTTGGATTAAGCATCTCATCAGCTCACTCGATTTTGCATCGTTCTTTCTCGTTTATCGCACTGTCGTTACTTTTACTATCTTACTATCATTTTCGCAATGGCGCCTACTCTGATGCCCGTGGCCATTATTGGCATGTCGTGCCGGCTGCCCGGTGAAGTCTCGACACTCGATGACTTCTGGACGCTCATGTGCAGAGCTCGCAGCGGTTGGGGCGAAATCCCCAAGGATCGCTTCAACAAGGAAGCATACTGGCACCCGAACCCCGAGAAGAGGGGCTGCTTCAACAGCATAGGCGGCTACTTTCTCAAAGAGGACATCGCCAAGTTCGATGCACCTTTCTTCAACATTACCAACAATGAAGCTAGTGCCATGGGTACGTTTTGCGAACCATTAACAGCCCTTTATGGCTGGCCCTCACTACGACTTGACTGACAGATATCAACAGACCCTCAGCAGCGACAACTGCTTGAGTGCACCTATGAAGCACTAGAGCATGCTGGCATTCCCAAGGAGAGCATTGCCGGGACCAACATGGGCGTGTTTGTTGGCGCGTCCCCCCCCGACTATGGTCTTGGGTCTCTCACAGACCTCGACACTGTGCCCATGTCCGATGCCACTGGTAATCACCAAGGCGTCCAGGCGGGCCGCATCTCCCACTACTTCGACCTGCGTGGTCCTTGTTTTGCCATTGATACAGCATGCTCTTCAAGCTTGCATGCCCTGCACCAGGCAGTGCAGAGCATTCGCTCAGGGGAGACTAAGCAAGCCCTTGTTGCGTCGTCGCACCTCAACATCCAGCCGGCCAATGTTGTGTCCCTGTCGACCAACCGGTAAGTCGGAGCTTAACCAAACGAGCAACGACAGGTCTCTGACATCTTCTCCAGCTTGCTCTCCGAAAAGGGAGCCACGTTTGCCTTTGACCACCGCGCCAAGTCTGGATTCGCGCGTGGAGAAGGCACTGGCTGCGTTATCCTGAAGCCTCTTGACCAGGCTCTGAAAGACGGCGACAAGGTTTGGTCCGTCGTCGTCAACACGGGCGTCAACCAAGACGGCAAGACAGTCGGTAAGTGTGCCTCATATCAATGCAACATGGAAATGTAATTGACAGTGTCTGATAGGCATGACAACTCCTTCTGCCGATGCTCAAGAACAGTTGATCCGTGAGGTTTATGCCAAGGCCGGCATCAACCCGAGAGACACCGGCTTTGTTGAGGCACACGGTACCGGCACCAAGGTCGGAGATCCTATCGAAGCCACGGTTCTCCACCGAGTCTTCAACGAAGACAGAACTCCCCGCCATCCTCTTTACATCGGCTCTGTCAAGTCTAACATCGGACATCTTGAGCCGGCAAGCGGCCTCGTCGCAGTCATTAAGGCGTCCCTGATGCTTCAAAAGGGTTTCATCCTGCCCAACGTCAACTATCGCCAGGCGAACGAGAGCATCCCCTTCGCCGAATGGAACATGAAGGTCCCCGTATCTCTGCGTCCATGGCCCAAGGGCAAGCGCTTCGTCAGCGTTAACAACTTTGGATTCGGTGGCTCGAACGCGCACTGCGTGCTCGAGAAGGCGCCTCCGACGCTCGCCAGAGGCTACAACGAGTCCAACATCGGACCTCGCCTCGTCGTCTTGTCCGGCAACGACAAGGACGCCGTGGGCCGTCTCAAGGCTATAGTGGGCGTCTGGCTCGAGAAGCATCCCGATCTTTTCGACAGAGAGCTCCTCCGCGACCTGGCATACACACTCGCCCATCGCCGCTCCCAGCTTTCCTGGCGCACGGCCGTGGTTGGGTCCTCGGCCAGCGATCTGACCCGTGCCCTGA